AAAAAAAACAAAATCGTTGTTATCACTGACTAGCTCCAAACAACAAACACATTTTGCGAATTTACTAATGTCGACTGAAATGCTAACAATTTATTAATTTCTTATTGCGGTTGAGGTAAAGGCCTATATGTATCCCCTTTGATAATATTAGTTTTCTGGATTAAATGAGTAGATCGTGCTTTTCTGGTACAACTAATTTTAGAACGACTTAAAATTTTGAGTTAAAGAAATTAATTTTTTATATTTTTTTATAAAATTATTTTTTTGTGAAATATTTTTAATTTTTTGCAAATTGTTAAAGTAGAATATGAATCATAGATACACGCAAAACATAAACATATGTATAAACAACACTTCAGCAAGTAGAGCACACCAAGTTTTAAAAACACCTCGGTCTGTTGTGAACACTGATAATGTGTATTATTTGTCTTATTTATATAAAATATTATAGCATCTGTTCATTTACAAAACAATATTTTCAAAGTAATATAAAGAAATAGAATCGATATTAAAAAAAAAATAATAATATAACAATATGATTATTATGCTAAGTGTTAAAATATATATTTTATGTATCACAGTTTGTGACATTTATCAATGTCAAATTTTAAGAAACAATTAATTGCATTTTAACATTATTGGAAAATCCGTTTAACTGACTTACAAAAAACTAATATTTAACTAAATATTAGGTGTTAATATGCCGTGTGTATATACTTCTATAGCAAACTAATGCCTTAGCCATACGCTTAAACAGGCAATATGTTTACCCGCCTAAAAAAAAATTGTTTGTATTACTGTGGATATGAATAATAAAAAAGTATAGTTTAACTGTACCTGCCGAAGTTTTCCGGTTTAATTATTACCATAGAAATAAAACTAACGCATGTGACTTTTCGTAAAATTTGATTTTAAATTAACACTAATAGGTGTAATTGAATATGATTTTTTTTTTGCATGTTTCGAAATAATTAGGACTCATCAACTATAACACAATATTACAAAAACATACAGTTAATAAAATATTCATCATACAAATAAAATGATATCTATAGAATACCAACTTCAGTTTAATGTATTTTAACAAAAAAAAAAAAATCCTCTTTTGTTAACAATACTAAATACGAATATATCTCTTGAAAAAAAAACAAATGTACAAGTAACAGCTTTTAAATTTATAAAAGAAATGTTATATGAAATAAAAATAGATTACCTGACAACATAGAATTTTTTAAGAAGTTAAAATTATTTTCACCCACTCTGTTTAAACCAGTTGCATACACAATTTAGTGATTTGCCTTTTATTAAAATATTTCTTGAACCTTCTCGATTGCCTTTGATAGAAACTCAATGGAATAAAATAGTAACTATCACTTAGAAAATATACCTAGATGAAAATCAATTAAATGATAGTCATATGTTTTGGCCAAAAGTATACAATTTTAAAGATGCTTTTATGCTTGTTTGCTTTTAAAGAATTGTCATTTTCATAATTGGAAAATTATGATACTACAGATGAAATAATTAAATATTATTAATAATCAAATAAATTTACCACATTTTTTTTTTTAATAATGATCTTTTTTTATATAGTTTTTACATTATGAAAAATACAAAATAATATGTTATGTTTTCTATATTTAAAATTGATTTCATACAGTCATTACGTTTGTTAAGTTTTGTTTTATGTAACACCTAAAACTACTTAACTATATTGTCTTGAAAAACTAAACAATAAAATAAAACAATTTTGTTACTCTACAAATTGCATTATTCTTTTTTATAGAATAAAAATTATTAAGGTACCTGCTATATTAAATAACTAAACTATACATTTTTTAAATTTACTAAAATCTGTTTGTATTACATGTACCTAAATTATAATAATAATATTATGGTTTAGAAGTTTAAGGAAAAGTGTAACATTTCGTCGGATATCCAACAAACCCTTGTCAGACGATTTTAAACAAAACTGGCAAGAAAACTGTAATTAAGAAAAAAAACGACCTCCTTAATTCACCAATTGGATCAAAAATGCTACAAGAGTGTTCCTATTAAGTTTTTGACTGGAAAAATATTTCTGATAAACAATTTTTTTACAGAATAAAAAACGACGTATCAGTTATTGCTAGGTAGCCGTCCGACGATTTGTTATTATTTTTTTCTTTATCAAACGTACTGTATATAGTGGCGATATATTAATTAATTTTGGCGGAATATGGCGTTTTTATGATTACAAATTGGCGGTTGTCTATTTGACAATTCTGGCAACACTGTCACCACCGACAGTACATCAGTGTCACTCGAACACCAGTCAACTACAGTAGGTACTATAGTCTTACTTCCTCGCCGTACACAAACCATAATTTAACTGATCGTTCAAAAGGATTTAAGTAAGTATTTTTAAAAAAAAACCAACCTTGTTGCGCTATTAAAATGTTAATTCACAAAGGTTTAAGTCAAACCATCACAAAATACCTACTCCAAAATGACAAAAATAATGACTTGACAGTATAAGTTTTCTTGTCAAGAGGACGTTATACCCCCTATTTATTAAGGAGATGGCCAGTTTATCACCGTAGCCGGGATCTTAACGTCTGGAGACGTGTAGTGCCGGCTTTAACGTCGGGGCAAAGCCGATGCTGGTTTTACGCCGGAGCTGGGCGGGAATAGTAGCCGCCTAGACTTCAGTCTAGACAAGTGTTGACCAGTTTACACTAAAGGTGCACAACTAAGATCGTCATCTTCTGGGTCCGAGTCAGTCGTGTCGCCAGTAATCGTCATGACGCAAGAACCAACTTTTACCGAATGATAAGGCGCGTTGTCCAACACAATAACGGCATTTTCTTTTAGCAAAGGAATGACGCCTTTTAACCAGCCGAAAAAAGTGTCGCCATTCATTTCCTCGTGATAATCGGCCAAACATTTTTTGACTCGAATGCCAACAAACCACCATCTCTTCCGACCCAATGTGTGTAATGATCAGGCGTTTACCTTTTCCTGTGGGATTAGGAGCGCCGGTCGAAAGACCAGACAAGAAGACATCCCTGCAGGACATCACTGTTTAGGCCGTACAATCGCCTGCGTTTACCCAAGTTTCGTCCAGATAATAAATGGGCCTTCCTTCCGCTCGGCATCTACGAATACCTTGGATGTACTTGCTACGCCACAAAACGATTTCTTCCTTTTCAATTAAAGCGCAATTACGGCCTCTTTTTGTGTACTCAAAATTTAGACCGCGCATTAAAGTATAGATAGTAGTCCTTTTGTACGTGTTGAGAGGTGGATCTTGGTTTATCGAAAGTAACATCTTGTCTAAGGTTGGTACTTCTCATCTGAACCAAAAGTCGTGTACCTTCTTCCGTATGGCACTCCGTTCAAAATCATCTACCCTATTAGTACATAACAGTCTGATCTTTTTTCAGTTAGGCGAATGGACTGTTTTCGATTGTCTATAATCGGCAATGGTTATTTGGATAGTATTCTGGCCAACACTTGTTTCCTTAGACAATATTTTAAGCACTTCTTTTACCTTCAGGTCTGGCAGTTGGGAATTTTTTTGCTTATACAGATTGACAATTATTTATTTCTGTTGGCTACTAACGAACTAAAAATAAAATAGTTGGGATGAGAAGAGGAAGGGGAATGCAAGGAAAGGAGAACTTTATTTGGGAACTTTTAAAATCAAATTACTATTAGTGGAAACGGGGAAATCACAGGTCTACAGGAATTATTATAACTGAGTGATAAAAATCACTTTTAAATTAATTGTATACGTTATTTATATTTTGAAGGGAGAAAGGGGTGAATTTTTAAGGCACTATTTCTGATCTATAGAGATGAAGAAATCATTTACAAAAAAATAATTATTTAAATTAACTATCATAAAAATTAATTACATAAAATATTATTATTTTTATTTTATAAGCCCATAATTCCAAAAAAATCGTCTAAGGAAAAAATTAACATTCTTGACACATACCTTTCCACATGAGTTCTTCTTTATTGGTGTAACGGAAACACAAGCTCTAGAGGTGAAAGATACCTCACTCATGGTTGATTATTTACTTAAGTACAGTATAAATAATTAACTCGAATAAATAAACAAGTAACAACTGTCGGCTGTAACGGCTGTCGAGAACGTTATAGCAATGGCGTCATCATCATGCCTGAACCCTTAGCCCCCATCTATGTGACTATAGTCATTATTTTTTTTTTTTTTGCTATGGAATTCTGGGAACGAAATGGTTATTTATTAAGGGGCAAAGGATAGGCAATATTTAACGAAAATCAATCCATATAATAGTTGCCATTTTAAATATTCCGACTAATTTTAAAGTAAACAAAATATATTCAGATTTTCTAGTTTTAAAACTTAGTTTTTAAGTTATTTTATTCTTAAATGTTGACTCTATAAAACTCCCCTCTTCCAATCCCGTAAAGGGGATTGCATGGGGTCCGTTTTTAAGGTGTTTTGTATAAGCAATATTTAAGAAAAAAAGACATTTCAATAAATATTTCGACCGTGTCAATTAATTTTCCGGTTAATTCATATAAGCTTCAAGGTATTATTATTTTTAATTTATATATTTTTTTATCGTTTTTAGGAAAACATGTTCCAAATGAATATCATAAATATCATTTTTTTATACACTTATACATTTATTTTAAATCGGTCATTATATATTTTGTCTTATATACATAGACTCAACTAGACCTACAGTCCATAACGAAAACGGTTAACTAAGTAAACAAAATAACGACCATATTGTTTTGAAGGTTGCTTACAATAGGTATGTATTTTCATGGGTGAGTGTTTGCAAACTAAACAAATATTCGTTTTTATTTTAAAAAATTACAAATATATTTAAAATAGGCATAGAAAACGTTTAATTCTAACTTTTGTACTTATTACGACATTACAAAACGTAGTAATAGATACACTACATAGAAACATATAACAGGTAATATATAATATAATATAAAACTACCTAATTTTTGTTCTTTAGAGCACCGTTATCAGTTTGACTGGCCCGTCTTTTATTTGATTGTTATTCGTTATTCCTTTCGTACATTCCTTTTTGTATTAACTTGTAAAGGTTTAGTAAAGAAGGTGAATCTTTTAAAATTTCCTCTTCTACTATGTCTGTCTTGTCGTTTCCTATTATTTCTACACACAAGTTAAACAGCAAGGTACCTTTAAAAAAGTTTTGAATTTTACATTTTTCCAAAGGGAATTTTAGCATTGCGTTCAATGGCATTATATAAGACAAAACACCTTGAAGTTCTGCGAAATAATGTATTATTCGGATAGATTGATCGAAACTTTCAAAATCCACAGTTGGTATAATTTTGTACTTGGACATGCGTTTATCTGCTTTTAAGCAATCCTCTTTGGTCACTTTAGACACGCATTCTTGGAAATATCCTTTCGGCCGATCCATTTTAAATTGTTCGCTTTCCACTTCATCTTCTTTGATTTTATCGATAAAGTTTAATTTAATAGCGCCCATAATAAACGCTCGCATTTGATACGCTACTCTTTTCTGATCCCTGTCTTGCGGTTTAAAAGTGGACCAATAGTTTAAAGCCAAAATAAACAATTGCCATTCAGGGAGAACGCCCGATTCATTAAAGTTTAGCAGAGTTGACCGATTGTTTTCACTGATCACATTCGAAATCATTTGTTTTCCACGATTGGGATTTTGTTTAAGTTTATTTAAAGAAATGTTCATTTCAGAATCACCATTCTGACGTTTCCAAAATGAAGGTTGTTCAATATTTTGTGTATACCCCGGTGATCCTGGTTTTCGACCGTACCACGTAAAATTTTTACTAAATAAGAGTCCGGCTATTTTCCTTACAATAGGAATACACATTTCGTAGTAAGGTTGTTCATCGTAATTTTCTATCTGCGGCTTAAATATAATAATTTTCAATTCCCTCAACAGTTTATCCACTGTGCCCAAGTCCCCGCAAAGATAATTTTCAGCAAAGAGGGGTTTCTCGGATCGTTCGCCGTTGGCTATATTTAATTTACTATACAAGTCCATATGTCCATATTTTTCAAAAAGGTACGGCAAGTATTTGGTGTCCTCGTTGTTGTATTCGTCTATAAACTTTTGAGTTTCAGGTAAATATTTTGAGATTATTCGCACAGCTTCGGCAATTTCCTTTCCTTTAAGCCAACTTGTGACTAAATTTGCTTTATACGAAAATTCAAAATTCCATTTGATTATGGATATATTTTCTGTAAAAATAGATTTTAATTCTTTATTATGATCGTTATCCATTAAGATAAAAATTAACGGCAGATATTTTTTTATCTATTTGATTAAAATATGAAGTGTTTAACAACGCCTCAACTTGGAATATATCACCTTCTATTAAAATTGAATCCTCATTTTCCTTGACCAAACGTAGCCAATCGGTGTGAATGAATTTGACAGTATTCAAATAATAATCTGAATCACTACTTATGACAGGGCAGTCGTACTTCTTGGCTAATTTTACAACTTCGTTGTCCGCTTCGTGTTCACATACAAAGTGCGGTATTTTCTTTTCGTCGAGAACTTCAATAAAAAACATCATAAGAAAGATGTGGCGCACACCTTTTAAACTCGAAATTATTGTCATGTCGGTCATACTGTTTTAATGTCCATGTCATCCTATCTAGTTTAGTTTTAATTTTTTGTTTTTTAAAAGAGAGCCGTCCAAAACCACTATGGGTGTAATTTCGTGTTTCTCTAATAGCTCAAAAAACTTTTCGTAGTCATTTTTGATATCATCGTAGTCGCCACCAAACATATTTTGCTCATTACTGCTGCTTCCTATTTCTCTCGCTTTGTGCGCTATTGATAGGCCGTCGAGTATGACGACTATGTTCTCAAGCTGCTCTGGCTCTTTGCTAAAGCAACCTTTGAGCGCTTCTTCTTTGTTATTTTTAATGAACACGGTTAGATTTCTAATACCCATAACGGCGGTGTTCTCCTCTTTTTTTAGGTATTCTTTCTGTTAACAAAAACAACGTTTTACTGTACTGACTCAAAACAAATAGTCTTTTGTAGTGAGAAATGAGGAATTTCTTCGTACTATTTTTAATTACCTATTATAGAGAATAGTATTTTCGTTAAGGTCAAATGGGCTACGTAAAATGTCGGTACTATCGGTTAATAAAAACACAAAAAAAGAACCCTTTACACATTTTTATTCCAATTCTTTACTGTTAACCGCGGAACAAGATAAACGACAATGCCGGGGATAGGTGGGATAGTCGATAGACGAAACAAATTAGCATTGGAATTTTGAATTTATATCAATCGGTTTGTTCGCTATGACATTGTAAGGCTATAAATTTAAGATCAATATTTGTTTGGGTTTGTATAACAGTAGCACCGTCACTGTGTTTGAAGAGGTAGATAAGAACCGGTTGTCTATCCTTATCTCAAAACATTTCATTGTTTCTGGTTATCGTTTTTTTCGACTAATAAATATGAATTTTATGGGCTACTGTATTTTGCAAAACCAATGTACAAATGACAATAAATTTATAAGGGGACATGTAATGTCTTTGCAAAGTCATTGCAAACGAACAGATTGGTTAAATTGAAAATTCAAACGCTAACATTTTTTAAAAAATTTTGTTTACATATTTATGAAATGAAAAACATGTTTCCATTTTTTTTTTTTAAGTAGTCCATTATTGTTTTACTTAAAAAGGGATGAAGAAAAATTGTTTTCCAAGTATTGGAAAATATAGTAAAATAGGTACTTACAAGAATGGGGAAAAAATAATTTCAAAATATTCATATATTCCGGAAAAAAAGTGTCTACCCGTGTTATATTGAAGTATTAAATGTTTGTATAATGTTTAAAACTAACCTACTGTATGTTAAGTAATTTTTATGTTTATAAACAAACAATAATTGTTAAAGTTTATAACGTTTAATTTAAATACACACCCCTGGCGGCGTTTTCATATTTTATATACAATAAAAATCCATTACGCTTTGGCAGTTGATATTCGTTATTAATTTATTCATAATATATTTATAATACATACCTGTTCATTGAAACATTGAAAATTATTTTTAATAAAATAAACGCTAAATGTAATATAATATTAACGACGGATGATACCACTGTCACTTATAATATAGTTCAAAGTGAATGCAAATGACTAACGTAAGACCGCAGTCGAAAAACACATGATTATAGACGGTAAAGGTTGCGCCGGGTAGGAACGCCGCGATTCTCTCCCACAATCATATAACCGAGAGGCGACTTATTAATATTACCATTGTCCAATTCACTGTAAAACTGTATCTCGATACCGAGCTTTGGAAACAAAAAAGGGTGTCGAAAGCGTTAACGAGTTCACCGCACAATTACAAAATAAAAATAATAAATGTATTTATAAAGCGTAAGTGCTAGGACATTAGCACCTTCAAAAATTGAAATTCAAATCCTTGAAAATACATATTCATTATACAACAGAAATCCTCCTCTGGTATTAATTGTCTATAAGTAATGGCAATGCAGAAACAGGCACCGAAAAAAATTACCAAAAAGTATGCGTTTACTATTTACCAATGTAATTAATTATCATTTAACTGTTATGAGTCAAATGATAATAAAAAATATCATGTTACGTATCATCTTTAATAAAAATGTTATCACGTTGATTCATAACGAAAAGGGTTATTAGTTAAGGGGCAAAGGTCTTAAAAATCAAACCATACAATAGCCATTTAAAATATACCGACTAATTTTAAAGTAAATAAAATATATTCAGATATACTAGTTTTAAAGTTATATTTTCTTAAATATTGCCTATACAAAATTCCTTAAAAACATACCGCAACTAATCCCGTTAATAGGATTGCATGCAGTCGGGTTTTAAGGAGTATTTTATAGGCAATATTTAAAAAAAAGTGGTTTTAATAAAATTCGACCATGTTAATTCATTTTCCGGTTAATTAGTGCACTTTTTTTCTGTAAGTAAAAGTAATTTTAGACCAAAAAGCCAGACAAAATGTCGACTACTTAGTCCAATTTCGATTCTTTAAAGAGATTCGAGTCGTAGGCTACTTTACTCTGATACCTACTACACCTACTAAAATATGTTAAGATTTTTAGTACATGTTATTGAATATAAAAAGCCAGTACAGTGGGGTCGGGGCATAGTGGTGACGGAGAGGTCACAGGTCTACAGATTTTGTTATAACTGAAAGTGATAAAATCACTTTTAAATAAACGCTTCGATGCGAATCTGTGGATAGTACGTTCAAATAGTTTAATATTTAGTCTTGTGCAGGGTGGATACGATATGGGTTGATCGTTTGTCTATAAAAATGTACTGTCATAGATACCCATATATCGTAATTTACAATATAATGAAAATATTTTCATTACCGGTTGACTGTTGATTCACTCACACGTGGCAACCTAGAAACTGACTACGGCCAAAGCGTAAATTTGCCCTATTTTTGGTGTTTTTCCTTGATAAAAAAAATTTGACTATAGGTTTTTGAGAAAATTGTATATGTTATAGTTCCATTTTAGATCTACCTTCGGTCTAATTTTCAGATCTAAATCTCCGAAACTTTGCTTGAAAAAGTGAAATAAAGAAAACAATTCTATCCCTACTAGAGGGGAAAGGATTTATGATACTTTTTTGTTTTGTTAACGTTTATCGATAGTACTATGTTTGAAGAATAATTCATATAAATTTGCTTGATAATACAACAAATTCTCATTTGATCATTTTTAACGAGTCGTTTATTTCAATTGACATTTTACCGCAATAAACTTTTATGTTCTAAAGTCTGCTGGGAATGATAAAAATCCGTTGTTAGCTTTTTTGAGGCCGTCAAGTAAAACAATGAATACATACCTTAGTCTATACTTACCGTGAACGAGGATTTTCAGGATTTTACAACTTGCAACAATTCCAAGATCGGAGATTTTTTTTTTTTTGAAAATCTATTTGGTCGGTATCATACATACCTGCACCTGCACGTCGGGCGAATGAGGAGCGCACTCTAGCGGTGGCCGGTCTGCACCAAGCGCCAAGGCGCGTTGCACCGCGGTGGAGTAGGAGAAATACCGTGTGGACGTCCCGAAGAGACGGTCCCGTACCGCGGTGTGCGTTTTTAGCCCGCCAGTTTTTACTCGTGTGTCGGATAGCGCGCCAAAAAATAAAAATAAATATATATAACATTATAATGTATAAATAATTTTTTTATAAATATATTTGAAAGAAAAAAAAACCGGAACAGTGTCGCTCGCACCGGATAGCGTTTTGTGACTGTTTTTTGTGGTTTTTAAGTGGAAAATTTTGGTGTTTTTTTTTTTTTTTTAATTTCCAGTGTCTCTTACCGGAGACGGACGACGGTTTTCAACGTCTCGTAAGTCGCCTATATAGTAAATAATAATAATAATATAATTATAAATTTAAATGAATTCAAACGGGGTAGTGCAGGCGAAAAAATAGTACAGGCAAGTCACTTATTTTAAACAATTGATTCGTTTCCGTGTGAAAAAAATCAGCTGTTCTTTTTTTTGGGGACACGATTGAAGAATGAAAGAAACTGTACGTTTTTTTAAAAAAAGTTTTTCAAGTATTTGTCGAACATTTTAGCATTATTTAAACGTGTTTTTATTGGATTAAAATTTAAAAAAAAAGTGATTTTCCTAATTTTTTTTTCTGTATTCTTTATTTGTCCCCCAAAAAAATAATGTAATTACATAATTACCATATTATTATATCCATTGGAGATTGATAACGATAAAAAGCGTTCACTCAGACCTTTTAAAGCTTTAAGGGAGTTTTTAAATAGATCACTTTTTTTACATAATATAAATAATATTACAAAAAAAAAATTGAAGAAGAAAATTGTTCACAGAAAATCCGGCTGTTAAAAAAAAACAAAAATTGTCATATTATATTTCTGCGTAGACGAGTAGATATCGTTTAGCACATAAGTAGTTTTTTTAAATATATAACTCACATAATTTTATTTGTACTTTTCGTGGCAAAAAATTTCAATTAATCGTTACACTGTTTATTGTATGCATATCGCGTAGAACAGCTTAATTCAGTAGATTAAAATGTATTATATTTTTTTTATATATACATATGGAAAGCATACAACTAAAAAGTAAGAAGTTGATTTTTTTTTAAGTCGTTAGAAAACAAGTTGGATCTATGTAAAAAGTATAAACATTAACGCTTGTATTTGCCTATATAATATAGTGTATGTTATAATACAATATTATAATGAATGAAATATTATTATTATTCAAATATAATAAAATACAATTTCAAATTTTTATAAAACTTACAATTTAAACATACCCGCACGTTTATACCTATTGGTTCACTTCTTAAAAGCTTTAAGTTCGTGCCAAGATTATTTTCCACATATTATAGACAACTATCTAGTTAACAATCCAAACCCGTCGATCGAATCTTTATTATTGATATACAATTGATTTGTTAAATTTATAGTTTGCCGGTAAATTGGATAGGTTATAGAAATGTTGATTATTTTTTTTACGTAGGTATACAGGGTGATTGAATGAGTACAAGACACTCGACACGTCGTACTGTTCTTAATATAAAAAGTAATTAAAAAAAAATAGGTACGGTACCGTTAACTTTCAATAGTTTATAGAGCTCTGGAAGAAAATAAAAAAAAATAAAAAATTAGAATATTATCATTATATTATAAAACAACCTAACTCAAAGTGTCTTATAAAATAAAAACTACAAAATTACAATTATTTGTACGTCTTCTCATTGATGAATCACTCTGTATTTAAAATTTAAATATTACCGGAATAATTACACCTCAATAGACCAACCGTGAACAGCTGTGCAAGTACTATTACTATTAGGTATTACAATTTATACTTTAATAATAACTTAAGAACACTTGGCTACGAACGATGACGGTCGAATATCATGACGGATGAAGTTATGAGATTGGAAAGTAATTTTAATTAAAGATTTATGACCGTTTACGGGCTTAAAAATGCGATTCGAGTGTCATTTAATTTAGATTATAATGGCTTTTATTTAAAGGAAACGTATGTGTGTTTTTTTCAAAAGACTAAACCATAATGTAAATCAGCTGTAAATCGTCCGTGGCCTGCGTTCGTGTTAATCTATACAACAGGATTGATAAAGTTTGACTTAGATGCACAAATATATATATATATAATAAACTAGACTGCCAAGTGTACCGTTCAAACCTATTATAAATCGATTTGTTTTTTAATAAAAAACAGCCACGTGTTGTCTAAGGGTATGTATTATACACGATTTGTAGGTGTGACTACGTTTTTGACCTAGTTTCGTTCTTGGAACTTTTTCAACCTCATTTCCTGGCACTAAGTGTCATGTCGATTTTCACGGTGTGTTACGAGGAAATTATTTTATTTTTATTTTATTTACATCCGATTTGTCAGTCGACCATTTGTTTCCTAAACTCTTACTTCATTGGCTTTTTTAAACTTTTCAGACCGTTAATTCTAGATAAACATTACCGAGTACACTCATGTAGTTCTTTGGTGGCAGCTTTATACTGTTCATAATATTATAGATTACCATTGATTTTAAAATAACACAGATGTATAGTTTACCTAACCCCCCCCCCCCTAGCTTCTCAGTCTAAGTTTTAAAAAATACATATATTCAATATCCCGAAATCATATTTTCAATTAGTTAGTGTAAAAATTTAGTATAATGTAATACCCACACAATGTCTTAAATATTATTTTTGAATTTGTTCGATTTTGTTAATTGATTTTCCAAATGTTTTTGTATGCAATTTTTGCTAGCTTTATTCATTTAATTTATATTGAAACGGGTTTTTGTCCGTTTATTAATTATAAATAAATAAATAGTACATTTTTAAATATAGTAATGTATTTGAAATGGTACGTTTATAGTTTTATTTAGAAGTTTATATAATATGTTACATTACACTTTTTAATGAGAAAAAACATTTTTATTATGTGTTTAAGACAAATTGTGAGATATATTAACTAAGTAATTTTATTAAAATTTTTTTTTCAATTTTTTTTCCAAAAAAAACCTATTTATAAAATTTACCTTTAAACGCTTCTCCTGGAATATTTGGAAAAAGTCATATGCACTTGCAAGTATAAATGTATACACAATAATGGTATCGCATTAATACAGATTATTATGTGAAATTATTGTAAAATTTTAACATAAATGTAATATTATAAGTTCTGCTAAATATAGGTAAAAAATCGCGTTCTTCGGCACAGAATAATAATAATTAGTAATAACAATAATTTTTTATAGTATTTCCAAACCGTAAAATATTTATAACGTCAGTTAATAATATATGTATTGATCTCCAAGGGCAAGAAATACAGCACAAAGGTCTTTTGATTTATACAATTATTGTTGTGCACCTTCACAGTAAGCTTTAAAAAACCCAAATGACTATGTTAATTTCTTTATTGATATTACCAACTCTACCGGATAGTTTATTGTTAAACTATTACATTTTTCACATTTAAAGTTACACCGAATGCTTAATTGTCACCTACCTGGGTCTAGTCTGCAATACAAGACAACTGGGGCCTAATAATTCGAATACAAATTTGCACAACTCTGTCTTTGCTCTATATGTTGTTTTTAACAGTAAATCGTTTTGCAGGTGTACTGTAAAATGTCAATATACACTCTTGTTGACCGCAAATGGTGTGTTTGAACTTGTATAATATAATAAATAATATCCACTGTCGTCAACACGATAGTATTAATTATCACACCGATCACAGTGCGCGTTATGGTGTCAGTAGTACTGCCAGTTATGCACACTTGTGTTGTACGAACAATGTTATTCACCGGCAATAGTAATAATAATAATAATAATATACGTTTAGAGCACATGACCATAATATTTTTTAGTGTTGAGAGCACACATGGAGAGAGAGTGAAGAGCTGTTACACCCGTCGTCCTGTCTACACCGGCCGGGGTAATATTGTGTTGGTCACGATTAGGTCAAATGTTAAGTATGGAGCTTCTTATCGAGACGATATCGTCCGCTTCGGTCGGGTAGATACCTAAAAAAAAAACAGAAGAAGAAAATCTCAAATTGATTTATTGTCACTTATTACTTATATATATATAGGTACAATTCCGACGGACTGAGAAATCGAAGAAGAAAAGGAAAATAAACTTGGTCGAAATTTCCAACCGAGTAAACGGTTCTATTATATTATGTGACAATACAGTAATAAACCAAAGGGTGTTAAACAAAATATGCGAGTTCAGTGGAAAATTCAAAATTGTATCTATTGTGGAACTATAAGAAATTTAACTATAAGGAATTGATGCGATTATTAGAGTTAATTCGTTATTTAATAGAATATTATGTTGGTAAAGATAACTATGACCTTTTGGCGAAATTGGCACAAAACAGGGTTGAGTTTAGAGAGGATGCCCTTCCCCTTGAACAGTGTAGTAAAACAATTATGACCGTCATTTACTTTCTTATACTAAACTACAAAATTAGCAAAACGGACTCAACTCATTTTACAATGTTTTACTCATTTCTCCCATCTCAATTTATGTGTTTTAGTTTTTGTTAAATACACTATTCGTTATTATTTGGATTTACATGTTAGAAACAGTTTTTTTTTAGAGTGGGCGTAAGTAGGTTTTTAAAAAAATAAAAAATGTTGCTTTACTTAAATACCATAGGTGATACATGAGATATTTTCTTGAGCTTGGAGGTAGGGAATAAAGGTGAAAGAGAGGATAGAGGAGATGATAGTAGGTTTTGGAAATGGCGAGGATCAAAAGGGTACTTTTCATAACTGTAGAAGATGATCTGTTGTACATTTTTTAGAGAGCAAACAAATTGGAGGAAGTAGAAAAACGAGAAGCAAATAGTAGATTAAAAAAAATGAACATTTATTAGTGTGATTGGATAGATGCACAACAATGAAATAATAGACATAAGTGGGCACTGGGTAACGGTAAGAGTGGCCAAACAATGCACTAATCGGTTCAGGAGGACACGTGGTGAAAAAAAATATTGGAAATTGTAGAAATCCTATTTCCGTTGGACGAAAACGAAACAAGACACAACATATTATACAAGAAGATAACGTTTTTTTATTCAACAGCACAGTATACTGGCGCCTGTGAGAACGATACCGATGTGATGTCTGCTGTAGATGTCGGCAGAAGGAAACGCGCGTTTTACACCCAAACACACAAATGGACACACACGTACCCAACAGCTGTGTAGTGCACCACTTGTTGCATTCTGAAACTTATTACAATATTCCAATATTGTGTATAATTTATTATACAGACCCCGTCATTCCTGCCGGTGCGCGCATTGCGACGTGCGGATGTCGCTATAGATGGTTAATGAGATTTAGAAGAAGAAAATAAAAACTAAAAAAATCATCAGTCGAGAAATCCATCCGGTCATTGAGTCACATGCTAAATTTAGATCAACGCCAAATGGACTAACGCCAAACCCGGTGTTTGGCCAAAATGAACAAATGAATGAAACACAAGCCTGTCCAGACAAATGTTCAAGTCAAATCTTGCAGGAATGAATATTGTGTTTTGCGTTTTGTTGATTTTCAAATAACAGGTGATTCGTCTTGAAACGATTGTGAGTATGAAAGTTTGGCCATTTGAATAGAAACAACTGGTCTTGTGGTGCAACACGGACACGGTTTTCTAATCGGATGTGTAGGTGGAACGCCTACGATTTTCACACTGTAATATTCAAAGTCGTTACTGAGAAATAAATATTTTATCTTATGTTTTTTTTATGTACATTTGTATTGGTACCATCGGCAAGATGAACATAATATTAATTTCCATAACAAATCTTTATCTACATAACGAAAAAACACCAATAAAACGCTCAACATATCATAATTATTTTCTTAGCTTTTTCTGGGGTAACAACATTAACATCGATGACACAGTATTATCTAATATCTATAATGTATAATATTGTGCGCTACACTTGAGGAAGAAATGGACAAAAGTACAATCTTTGAAACCTCTAAAAAGTCGACCAAATATATAAGTTCCTAACACAACGATTGCGTTTAAAGTGTTTCATTTTATTTTCAAATTATAATACATTTATAAAAAACTTCAACATATTTTACCATATTTTTATTGGGGTATGTATTTAACAATGTTTCTCTTTTCTACATAATGCGGCTAATACTTATACCTACTCTGGATAGGCAAGTATCTCATAAACAGTAATGTAATTTTTTGCATTTACTCATCCAAAGCTGAGCTCGTGTTTACCTTAGTATGTTGATTTATGCACAACTGGAGCGCTTTTCGTCGAACGGCGGTTGCACGGCATTTCTATGTCACGAGCTGGCCCGCTTTCCCCCCCCCCCCCACAGGGTGTTGCCAGAGTAAATAGCAAAATTACTTATTTTATGAATTATGGCATTCGAAAATTGCAGACTTAAATTACAGACAGCGAAAAATGTTACTATTAAAACAATGTAGCACATCTGCACTGTTAATCATTGCGTGCGACAACACACACACCACAGACTTATAACATCTTCTCAGCTTCGCATCGTTTACACACACCCTGTATGCACGTGAGACGTGTCTGTGTGTTATATTATTATTATATTATACTATTCCTGTGCACCGAGAGCTTGTCTCAGCAGCCGGCGGCGACGGGTTCGTACATATAGTGTTGTGCTCTTCGGGTATAATATTATAATATGCAACCGGGAAAAAAAGGGGTAAATAGATAGCAATCGCTGTACATGGCCCGTGGGAATGGAACGGTCGCGGTTCTCCTCCGGTAAATATGGAAATATTGTAAGTCGCCACCAGTACACACGTTTTCGCGAGATCAGAGAGGCGGATATAGAATAATGTAATTTTTCTCGATCCACCGTCGATGGAGATCTATACTCTGTAAAACGTGTTTACCTACAAGCCACATCCTCTTTGCCGGTCCGACCGGTGGTTTTTCTAATCAACTGCCATATAAACTATGGTCTATGCGGCCAGACGGACTCTATAGCACAATATTAATACACTAGGTATACATACATCTCGTGCGCTTGTCATAACCGCATATATAGTATACTTAAGACGATGCGGGTCTCACAGCTATTACATATTATTATTATCTATATTATGAATTTTCTACACCGATTAAGCGAGGGGGGAACACTACGGACCACCGCGAGAGTACCGGAAAAATATTAGATCTATTAGTCGGCCAGATATATATTATTATTTGGGATCTAAGTAACGTTACTTAAAGCCGAACTCTCCCCGGGCTGTACCTGCGTGGTTCTCGGACGTTGACATATAAATGGACACCACTATAAGCGTGTTCCGGTGAAGACATTACGGTTAATAAGTACATGCGGTTAATAATATTATACAAAGCACTGCGGTACCGCAGTTAAGCATTATAAGATGCCCAACATCGTGAGAGTCTGTGTAAATCGTACTAGCGTTGATCTTTTTTTTTACTTGCTATTTCGCACCCCAGACGTCTCAACGAACGTCTAACTGCTAAGAAGCACGTGTACTTAGACAACTATACTTGTATTTGTATTATGCGCACATCATATTATTGTACATAATGTAATACGTGCCTGTTCACATTTATTTATTTATTTTTTTTTTTTTAACAATTGTTTTCAGGGTTCGGACCAACGCCGTTTTGTGTGATTATATATTATGACAACGGGACGGGCATAGCAAATCGAGATGACTCTGCCGTCATCACGTAACCGACCCTTGTGCGCCTTTGCCGCTCTCCTGTTGTGCGCATTGTGTGTCGCGGTAGACGGTTTCAATGTAGACGTCAAAAACTGTATAAGGCACCGCGGGCCCGAAGGGTCTATGTTCGGTTTTAGCGTGGCCCAGCACAAGGAAAGAGGACGGTCGTGGTGAGTATCTGAGTGCATTGAGATTTACTACATTCATTTTTAGGCATAAATCTATTTAAACTTATGTCTTGTATTCAGTTGGAAAAATGCTCCGTCTTTGGAGACAGCCGTTGTGTGTACCTCTTATTAGGTATCAGCACTAGATATCTTATTGTTGACAATGTGTAATCGACCAGTCCGTCATAATTGATAGGTTTATTAATATCTGTGTTAATGACATGAAATTAGTATTTGTCTGGTCGTGGGTAAGAGGGAAGGATTTATAGGGGATATCCCGTTCCCAAAATTGTACTTTATCATACTCTTCGCACACTTGCGAAGAAAATGAAAATGAAATATAGTCCAACATTGACTGTCAGGTAAATTATGATTATTTTCTTTTGTAACGACTAATGGCTTGACATTTAATGTCGACAAATAATCCCACGAAATCATTATAATAATATAGGTCAAACAGTGACATTTTACTCGTGTGCCGTTTTAGTGAAGACCATGCCGACGGCACACAACGGGAGGAATCAAACTATATTCTACTTTATTTACATATAATATGGGGTACGACAATGTATGGGGGGGGGCTCTGGGGGATACTAACCTAACTATTTTTTGTACCCAATAATATTGACCACTGTGAATTTGCGTTTGAAAAAAATTACAATGATAAAGCCACAAACAGCTACACACACGTTTAGAATGGGCAATCAATTTTAGACGCACACAATTTTATATAATATATACTATATTGTGGGCAAGTCGCTGCAGCTGAAGTCGATGTATGACGCCAACTGTCTATTTATAACTTTGTACGGCTTCACGATACAAAGGAGTAGAGATACGTCATGGTCCGATGATCGAGTCCGCAAAAATAGTATATAGTCGTGGAATTATTACTATGAGTCATATTATTGCAATGGACGTTAAACTTAATGACAAGGATTATCAAGCATGTCAAACGTGTGTGATATGATATCCTGTGGTAGAGTACGTGCAATCGCACAGGTAAATCAATTTGTTCATACATAGTCGACGCTACAAGTGCATTGCGTACACTACTATTGCACCGAACGCCAAACTCAAGTGTAAATCAAAAGCTGTACCGAGTTCATCCAGTTTGAGTTAGTCCTGATGTTTATTCGATGTGCAATAGTAGTTTTACATACCAAGCAAGACAGTGTTTTGAAAATGTCATTAAGCTGGTGTTGAATTTAAACTTGAGTCTTCAATTATTATTGTACTGTTTTTCAAAATGTCCACAAGAATGTAATTATTAATTTTTAATGATATCACTTTTCACGTGTTACCATTATTTTACCATATCATATACCTTACCTACTACTACAGTGGTGTCTGAAAACGAAACGTGTGTACAAGCATGGCGGTTGACGTTTGTGATGGATATCGGTCGGAAGGGTTAAAAATTAACAGTCATCAAAAATCTCCCCACGCATAGTCCTGTACTGTTAACACTTCCGCCATCTGGACCGGGCGCGTTATCCATTAGCTGTTAGAGAAACCGTCGTCACGTCAATTGACACACACACACACACACTATGACTTGCAATTGGAAACTTTTATTTTTTTTTATTAAGTATTATGTCTCCGCAAGTTTACGATACCCACACGCGCGCACATACACCGAGTTAATGCAACGGATAATGGAGTGGCTCTCTTTGACTTTATACATCATTGTTTTATAATTGTAAAGAAGCCGTTTTCAAACTGTACCACTTAAGCAATAATAATAATTAATCTATAGAGATACATCTAGCCGCGGCCATCACGACGTCGTCTTTTGTTTCCGTTTTAACGTTGCCCGTTGAATATTTTATTATAATCGAGCACACCGGACCCATGTCAATGGGCTGTGGGGCTGTGGCTGTTCACAAACGGATATTGTTGTTTTTTTTTGTTTTTTTTTACCAATATAATTGCACAAAATATTATGCACACGACGTCCGACGGCGGCATGTCGAAACCCGAAATCAGAAGTCAATAATACTTAATGTAGATATAATAGTTTTTTTGATGTCTCATTAAGACAACACACACGTCTCGTGCGAAAACACCAACTCGAATGTGCGTTTAATGAACTATTAAAAAGTATAATATTGATTTTGTTTTAAAATATTTTCAACGCGTTCGAAAAAAAACACAATCATTTCATACCTAACGATTTGTACTTGTACAAAACTTGTACCTGTTATCACCACTCCAGAGGTTTCAGCACGTTTTTATTTGGAAGTTAACCACTCGGTATTCGTTGGCCTTGAAAAATATCAGTAAAATAAATAAATTGTAAATCTTTACCAGCAGCAGCATGTGAACTGTTACACTGCTGTGGGGCAACCTCTGCCTACGGACTTGTGTTTTTTATGATAATTTACTACGTTTTTTTTTTTTTTTTACTACCGACCGACGACCATCAAACTCAAAACATAAACAACACAATAGTGAGCTCAACCAGTTGTCAATTTTAACGGATTTTTTGAGTTTCTATACTTCTACTTTTAATCCATCCGATTACTACATTAGGCCCTTTAATAAGGGCTTGTTACGTAACCGCGAGGTTCGGTTGCATTGATTTTCTGACAACCAAAATACTGATGTAGGTTAACCGAATGTTTTTTTTTTCCAATACAACGTCCGTTAGTTTATATAATTCAATTTTAAACCTTTTAATAATCTGTCAAAGCCGTGCGTGTGTGTTTTAAAACATAATATCCATTCCATTTGTATCTTTCAAGGGGTCGTAATAAGTAACATATTATGAAATAAGCGAAAAGACGAGCTTGCAGTATGACCACAACGACGAAATCACATTCCTCATAGTCGATAAGAATAATTATACTGTGCAGCGTTTAAACGATCCATGTGTTTATTTTTATTTAAAGTGGTCACACTGTCGCTCGCCTTCTTGATTACTTCGTTGTCGGGTACAGGACATTATAATAATAAGACGTTGCCCAGGGGTATATATTAATTTTACTGTACGGTTCGACCAGAGCTCAGAAGTCGTTATACAACTATTTGAACACCGATAATATAATAATAATAATGCAAGGAGTCGCAGCTTGTTCGCCACCCAGACCCAGCAGTTCTTTATTTTGTTTATACGTCCCTCCGAATCATCATTAGCCAGTAAAATTCCACGGACAGCTGCCGGTCTCCAGTCTCATCCATCACCGTCTCTGATTGAAATATAAACAGGGAGAGTCCACGGTTTTTTTTTTCAGGGCGATGGGGGTCACGAGAGGGTATGTAGTATGTACAGATATTGTTGTTATTATTCTTATGGTAGCAACAAGTCTTTGATCAATAGGTCTTTGATGAGGACGAAGTAGTCGTCCGGTGTGCCCCCTCGGATCAATTATACACTTATACATAATGATATTTTTATTGTATCGCCGTTAATGATGACCGTGTCGCACCCGAAAACAGATTATTAATGAACTAGGCCGGCAGAAATGTAATATGTTAAATGCTCAATGAAAAAACGGTTTTCCACCACCCCCCCCCCCCCCCCAATCCATTATTATTCACGTTGTTGCATTTACACTGATTCGCCATTTCACAAACCCAGAACTGTATTATTCTTGTCTTACAACAAAACATATTTCATAGACATAAAAAAAAAAAATGGCAAATGGGTGCAGTTTCATACTGAACATATGGCGTAGCCTGGACTGACTTTACTACGACTATTAACGTACAATGCAAATAAAATATATATTCCAATTTTCGGTCTGTTTGTTCGCAATACAAAAAAAAAAAAAAAAACGTTGTCATTATAGTATAGTGTCATCGTATACATACACAATTTCCGTGTATGACCATAGGGCGTTTAAGCATAATATTATTTTGTTTTCCCTGAAAGTAAACCTACAAACAACGCCAACTGGACACACACACAATATTATTATAACCCGAGTTGGTTAACCCTTGCGATATGAATGTTAAACAGTTCTCCAAAAAAACTACCGTGAAGATTTCGTTTATTCGATCTAAGGACATATTGTTGTTATTTTATTATTATAATAATAATGATAGTCGTCTATGTGGACAACGTGTTATGATTCAAAACACGTCAGTACCATATGTAAGTCCTTTGTGGACCTAAAGACGACGGCACCCCTGATTTGTTTTGTTTCTTTTACCGCCGGACTACCTTCTTTTCGAATCGTCCAGATGATCATTTCGAAAGCATGACTGTCTGAAAAAATAAAGAAACCACATGCGAGACGCTCTTTGGCCGTGCACACTAAGATATTATGTAGAGCTAAAAGAAAAAAAACAATAATGTTCCTCCGACTGGTTACGTTGTGGTAATGGAAAGAATTTGGCAAACGGTCTTACGGTTTTCGATTGCTCGTTAAACTTTATTTTAAAACTCTATTTTTTTTTTTTTTGAGTTAAAGCTCTGCTGCCGCATGTGTATGTATTTAAAAAAATATATATATGTTTTCCGTTTTTCTGGTCGTTTCATACGCCTCGAGATGAAAATTAAAGACTTTTTTTTTTTTTTTGATAGCTATCCAAAAATCAATCGTCGCAATTATTTATTGGAAACACCAACTAAAATTGAAATTAATAATAATATTTCTACGTCGAAACGAACATATTATTTGATGTCCGTTTTTACAATGTACAAGCAACTGTTCCTCGACCAAATCCAAATGCATTAAAACCCAAAAAGGACGGATGTGCTAACACGTGTTAACTCACTGGTATAATAATATCAGAGTTTACTGTGCGGTGCGAGTAATAAAATACTATTTTTTTTTATGTTGTCGGTCGTACTTAGGTTTTCTAGGGAAGTCTACAAACCTGATTTGCACGTTTAAAATGTCATAAGCAGTAGATCCATAAATAGTCTCACATCGTTTTTCAAAGTACAACAGGGATTGTTTGTTAGACTTTATTTTTTTCTTTATAATAAAAGTTAATTAAATTATTAAGTTGTTAATTACTTGGTTGCTTTTCCATAAAATGTATTGTGTTCA